AAAACAACACCATCACCGACGGTAACGAGAGTGACCAAGACTAAAAATCCTAAACGAATTCAGCAGGGTAAAGCTTTAGCCGAGCACAATAGACAGATGAAATTAAAATTAGCAAAAATGAACGTAACATCGGACGAAGCTACGAGCTCACCAGACTACAACTCTTGGGCGATGTGGGGGGCTATAGCGTCCATAATAGGAGTGGGGTTGCTGGTACTAAAAAGTAAGGCAACTGCGCAGGTAGTACAGCCAGTGCCGGTAGTCACGCAACCCACTTCACCCAGCGCCCCCAAAACGCTAGACATGGAATAAAACAGCAATTTAAAAATTGTTATATTAAAAACGATGAGTAACTTTGACACCAACGGAATAGCTAATACGATTTATCACGGAGCCGTCATATCGGGTCTTTCGATGGGATACGCCATGGTAGGAAATAAACTACTCAAAATGAAAGCGCCGGATTTAAGCAAACTAAGCGTAGAAGATGCGGGTAAATTGACGGGTATTATAAGTGGAGCTCTGGCCACGCAAAATTGGTTGGTGGCCCAGGGTATACTACCGGGCAGTATAATGAAAACGGTATAATTTAAATAGGCGTATTAAATAAATGGCTGAAGGAGGATTTTACGATCCAGACTATGAAAGAACAGATGATAACAATGATGATGATGATGATGTAGCAGAGACCAATGTAGATGACGACTTTGAAAATCCTGATACACCCATCCCAACTACCGACATAGATGAGGTTTTAGATCAAGGAAGAAGCATGGTCACTAATGTTAGCGTTGATGAGTTTTACGATACTTATAACATATACAATGAACCAATACGTCCTAGATACGAAAAATTTATTCTCAAAACAGATGGTTTATTTTACAAATCTGATAAAGGTGATGTTAGGTTGACGGTTAGAAATGATCCAAACAGATTTTTGACTCTGAGGACTATAGAGATAAATGTAAGGAAGATTGGTTTAAACGGTAGAGATTTTATTAGAAACAAATTAGGCTTTACGCATTATGAACGTAAGACACTCAGTGACGATCAAAGTCAACATCTGCGATCGATACAACCCGAGAGTATCCCCATGACAGAACTACCCAGAGTTACCAATGAGGTAACCCAGATTATAGACGATTTAGAACAAGACACCAGCGCTCAAACGGAAGGATTGAATTACAGAGAACTCCAGGGTTTAGATAAAACTCTTCAGACGTTAAGAGGTAACCTAGAACTTAATTTAGCGCGTCTCACAGAACTAGACCAAGAGATTGCAGCCACGAGGCAAGAACTCGACGAATCTCACAGCGAAGAGGGTCGACGAGAGTTAAACGATAAATTGAGCGACTTGAACGCTGAAAGATCCGCCAGATTAGAAGCCGCAAAAACCAACGAACGAGGGCTCAAAAGTCAGATCACTAGAATCAAAGAAACCATTAATAAAATATTAGGCGACGACACGACTCTGGCGGAAAAGATTAGAACTCTGTTTAGAGAACAAGGTGTGACCATAGTGAGTATTTTAGCCGCTTTTAATTTAGCCATCAGCACCATAGTGAGTAGCATCGTCGCTAGCGTGAGAGGTGCGGGTGCCCCACCCGCGCCATCGCCAACACCAACACCAACACCAAAAGGTGGTATCAAAGAGTGGATTTCAAAACAACTCGCTAATTTTGCATCTGCTTTTCAAAAACTCAGAGTGAGCGCGTTGGGTGCTCTGCCTGGTATCATAGGCAGCGTACTAAGTTGGATATTTAACGCGTTGAGTAAGTCCGTATCGTGGTTGCCCGAACACGTGTGGGCTTTGTTTTTGGGTGTGGGGGCCTTTGTGTTTGCGTACCTGCAAAAACGATGGTAGTAATAGTTGTTATCAAGTTTAAAAACAAAACAACAACAAAAAGCCTTACCAGCACAAAGTTGGTAATGCTTTTTTTGTGTGTGTGTGTGTGTTGTGATTAGAGTGTGACTTATCGCGTTACCTCGTAAGCCAAAATACCCATAGCAACGATGGCCAATATTCCTACCGTCAACGATAATTTTTCGTCTTGGTGAGTTTGTAGTTTCGTGGGCTCATGGGTTAAAACTGTAGGTGTAGGTGTTGGTTTGGGTGTTGGTGTTGGTGCTGGTGTTGGTGCTGGTGTTGGTGTTGGTGATACAACATCGTTCGTCATAGGCTCTGGGGGTGTTGGTGGCGCGACGTCATCGGTGTCATCAAAAGAGTCGTCCGGTTGAGGTTGTGAGTTTAAATCTGGCACTAAACCAGTTTTCATACTCTGGGTAGCGATTTGAAGATTGTTGTTATATCCGTCGTTTGGGATGCAACTTGATGCTTTAGCTCGGTTGCCTTGGCTACATTTTGATTTACTTGTTTCGTTACCTGATCAGCTATCGATTGTATCTGCTTTTTTAACGACTTAAAATCACTCATTATTTTAGTTTCAGTTTTAATATAAAAAGACTTTAAAATAAATGCATTCGTTTCACTTGTTTCAAAATGAGCAGACGTTTAAATTAGAAGACGTTGTAGATAATCTAAACGGTCAAAAATCTGTACGCGTAAAAAGGCTAATGTTTAACCCCGGATATTTTAATATTTCCAGCGCCACAGAGATTGATTGGTTTACGCAAATAGATGGGAGACCCGCGTTTACCACAGATAAACCTCCCCTCATACCCCCGGAGTTTCTTTCAGATGTACACATAAGAACGCCGGATAGAGATTTTATAGAGCGATTGTTACCCGATATACCATACCACTTTTTATTTAACGATGAAAATGTTTTACAAAAAACTATAAACGATCTTATAAAAGCGTACGAAGACGATAGACTAGAATCCGTTTTAGAATCAAACAAAAGAAAAAGAGCTATTATAGCTGAACGGCGAGGGTTGATTTTAGCCACCATGTCTTCAGAAATACCAAAAACTGAATTAGAACTTAATACGCTTCAATCTTTAGTAAGAATATTATTTGTTAGAGAAAGAAAAATCTTTGAATGTGAGGAATTGGCTTTTAAGTTTATAAAAGGAGAAATGGGTGCGAGCGAGTTGAGAGATAGTAGAGAAGCAGGGGTGATTATAAGAGGGAGTCTTATCGTGACGGGTGATGATTTAGATTTTATTCCTCCGAGAAATTTAGCGCCGTTACCCCTCATCATCATAGCACCGGGGTGGTACGACGTGGATTGGTTCGATTTCATTTTAAATTCTATACCCGGGGTAAGTTTTCGAATATATAGAGAATCTAAAAAGGTGACGTTGGTGATAACCGACGTAAATCTCAAATTGCGCTTGAACAGAGAAGTATCTCGATTACTCAATTTACCCAAAGGAAGACTGGTACCCAAAGTGGTGTATACGGGGTCTTACGACGTTAATCCGTTTAAATTTTTGTTTATTCGCTGCCCGCAATTAAGTACAAGTGAAAACTTTTTTAATGGTCGTCCTTCTGACATCTTCAAAATCGTACCCGTGGCTACGCGCCAATTGACCAATTGATACGATCTTCTTGCGCATTTTCTGCCGAAAAATCAAAATAACGTGTGACTACTTCACCACACGTTTCACAAACTAAAAAACCATTCTCGATGATTATATGGTGATCGCACTTATCCCCAAGTTGTGACGTCCCAAAGTATTCCATCTATTTAATAAACTTTAAATAAAAATGATTGCATTTTTAAATAAATAAATATCGCCCTCTGTTTCTTTATATAATTGAAATCAGATCTCTTAGTGCCCGTTAATAGCGCCCTCTGTTTTTTATCGGTACAATAACCCTTATCATAAAATTAAATACCGCCCTCTGTTTATAATCCCTCACCACCAATGAATGGCGCCCTCTGTTGATTTCTTTTATTATAATTGCACCTGGACTCGATAAATCGATCATTTATTATACCGCCCTCTGTTTATATTATTTTGATATCCATCACCACACAGAAATAGCGCCCTCTATTGATAATTGAACTTGGACTCGATAAAATTATCATTCATACGTTCTCTTTATTTGATATTCATATATTATAATTTATACAGTAAAAAGCCACTCCGAGTGGCTTTTTCTTTGTCATTTAAATTAGCTTATTTAAATAGCTTTTATTACATCTTAATATATACAGTAAAAAGCCACTCCGAGTGGCTTTTTTGTTGTCATTCAAATTAGCTCATTTAAATAGCTTTTCTGACATCTTAATATATACAGTAAAAAGCCACTCCGAGTGGCTTTTTCGTTGTCATTCAAATTAGCTCATTTAAATAGCTTTTCTGACATCTTAATATTTACAGTAAAAAGCCACTCCGAGTGGCTTTTTCGTTGTCATTCAAATTAGCTCATTTAAATAACTGTTTGTGACCCACTCTGCAAAAATGAGTCTGATGTCGCATAATTTGAATTCAAGCTTTTGCCATTTTGAAATGGAAACAGTAAAAATTTGCTCAAAATTTGGATTTTTTGTTTTTGTTTTATTTTGGTTGTTTGATAGTTTTAGTTCAAATATCTTACACAAAAATGTAAATATTGTAAGAAAAAGAAAAAAAATTATGAATCTTTGGTGCTTTTCTTGGTTAGTTACAGTGTATTCGTCATTTTTCAAAGCCCTTTTTCTCCATTGAGAACACTTCTAGCTTTGCAAAAACTTTACAGAATGAAACAAGCACAACAATGCAACCAAAAGTCCTAGAGAGGTCCATGATATACCAAATGAAAGCTTATTTCATTCCCATTTTATTAATGTAGTTAACTCAAAATGTCAGTTTTGCCACAACAGACTCATTTTTGCAGAGTGGGTCACGTTTGGTTTGTCATATATCAACAGGTTTTTACTCAAGGTCCACACTGGCCACAGTTACAAAGCACAGCATGTGTCCATTTTGATCCTTCTTCTAAATTACTTGTAAAATAGTTTACAGTATGCATTTTATTTTTTCTGAAGAACGTTAAGGGTAGGCAACAGTGGAGTGATTGCGGGTACTTCTTGACGAGGTCGTAAAAGTCTCTGTGTATTTTTGCCCAAGTTCTTTTTATCTTACAATTGTTTTTCAACCAAGTGTTGAAGTTTGCGGAAATTACCTTCCCTCTTTTCTTATCCCGCCAAAAGGTTTTAAATGATATTTCCAACCAGTGTCCCATATTAGCTGCATTTCTGCGAGCCCCATTTTCAGACATGTTATAAATTTTACTACATGACTTTACACACCCCTCCAAATCAGATAAACTCTTTCCCATATCAACTACGGTTACGCTAGGGACAACCCTGTCATTACCTCCCTGTTGCCTGTTATAATTTTCCCTAATTTCATGATAAATTTCTTTTGGATCAACAGTCTTTCTAATTACAGGAATGTCGGTCTGATCCACCTCCATCTCGTCAATCTCATCTTCGGCATCAATATACATTTTTAAAATAGGTAATGGAGGTGGATTGACTAAATCAGGCGTTTGTGATAAAACCTGTTTAAGTTCATCAAGCCGTCCAGTGTCCAAAAGTGCCTTCGCATTCTTCAACTGCTGAGTCAGCTCTCCTAATTTGGCCACAATCCATTCACCCACAGTGTTGACCATGCTGTTTGCCAATGTGACGGAATCTTGCCCGTATGTGACATCTACAACACTAGATGGGAAGTTCATCTGAAAAAAAAAATAGGAAAATAGGTCTTAGTAAGTAAATTTCGTTACACACATAACATAACATAATAATAAATTGGGAGGTTATAAATCATCCTTACTCGCGGCTGGATGCTGAATTGCGAAGGACGCGGCTACAACGTGGTTGGGCCGCTGGCACATAAAGGTGCCTATGGCTGCTGGCCACATTGACCCATATTACCACGTAGCACAGCCTCAGATCGAAAGTATTTGATTTTTCTAGAGAGAGAAAAATCAGAGGGCCTGGAGAAAAACCCTCGTGGCATAGGAGAGAACCAACTCACAACTCTACTCACATGCCTTTCGCGGCTAGGATTCGAACCGTGGTCACCTTGTGAGCGCTTTACGCACAAGCCACCCTAGCATATTGGGTACCTGATGTATAAAAAAATACACGTTATAAGCGTATTATAGTTACCTTTGAAAGTTGGTGTGATGTTTCCTGGGATGCTTTGCAAAAGTTGGTAGTTTAGCTGTCCCGTGTTTGCAAACGAAGCTATACAGTGGGATATGCACAGTGCTGAGACGTGGCTGTTTTTTATCGTCTTGGAGGCTTGATAAGATAGGCTTTTCGTCTTGGAGGCTTGATATGATCAGATCCCACTGGTCATACATTTTCATGTCGATTCCCGCAAAATTTAAGTTCCGGTCTCTCACGGTTGATTTTATATTGCCTTTCAAAGATTAAATTTATTATTTTTTGAAGTGACGTCACGTGACCCATGATGACGTCATGATGACGTAATTGCAAAAAAGCACATGTTCCGTGGGTTGTGCATTCATGTATTGACAATTGAAGTTCATATATGTTTTCATTTTGACAGACAGTTCTGGAGAAGAATATGCTGAGGAGAACATTAATAATAACAATAGTAAATTCATACAATAACAATAGGTGTTGGGCTGAGGCCCAACACCTAAGGTTTACCCATATTTGATCATTAGGGAGGCATTCCCATAGACTGGCCAACAAGAAGTTTACGTATTAGTAAATCGCTATCATAAGCGTAGACGCCACTGTTCCAGCTCGAGTTCTGGCTCAAATTCTTCCGGAAATTCCTCAACTGACCACTGATTCCCATCACTGTCGCCGTCACGGGAAACGGAGTAGCAGGCAAGCACTATTGCTCCGAGGGTTTCAGGAATTGTCGGCTACGCTGGTGTCTCAGGTCCCCCAGCGTCGGGCACTAGTGCCAGTTCCTGTTAATTTATCGAGTCCTCCCCCGCGAGAACCCACGTCTTTGGAAAACAGGGATGAATTGTCAATTTGCCCATTGGAAAATTTCTCAGACTTACTCTCCAACTCCATTGTCGGCTGAAATTTCCGACCGTTGTTTGTGATGGAAATGACAATATCTGAATGAATGTGAAGCCGAGTAAAATTCAAATGAGAGCTTTTAAAGTATGAACATAGAATAATAATCAGTGAATAGAGGGGCTGTTAACATGATAAACCCCATTCATTATCATCCTTATTCTATTACCATTATTGACTAAAGAAAACGTCAAGAATCATCTCCGTCACAGTAAAACATGAGGGAGTTGACTGTGACGGAGCTGACAAGATTAAGAATCAAACTTGTATAGCGCCATCTACAGTTTGTTTAAAGCATGAATACCACATGTGCTTAGAAGTTAACACAATTCTGATTGTACTCATGAATACATTTTTAGAATAAAAATATAAATAAGGCATGTTTAAAAGCGTTCGGAGATGACGCCGAATAAAGGTACACACCGGTGATTTAGCCAAAAGTCACGATTTTTATGGGTTTTTATTCACGATATTTGGAGAAATTTTGAACACAAAGCAGTGTCGTATCTCTCGCTTGTTCAAAGACCGAAGTTGTGTTCTATTCGGTTTTTATCAACTCTTGAGGGCGCTGCATAGGTTCGTGATGGTATCTGATTGAAATACTTGTACTCGAGACAAACGTTTTCCGGCAAAATCGATAAAATTTAGAACTTAATTGGTTTATAATGGCATATTTTGAAGGATTGAATAGATTTAAGTGATAAATACCTTTTGTTTAAGAGTATTTTCATGAAGTCCTCCAACCAGATAAATGTAACGATCGGAATTTTTACACAGTATGATTGGGACATGGGTTTTTCAGGGGTCGAACATCAGAAAATAAAGAACAATAAAAAGTTTGTTCTCTTGCTTTTTATGATCATTTATTATGAGAATTATGTTTATTAACATTATCCACAAAAATACATTTCATAATTTTTATGCATTTCCCTTCTATACGGCATCAAAGTATCGGGACATAAAAGTACGAAGAAAGACCCATTTAACAATAAGTTTCAAGAACTGAACACCAACCTGCTGCAGCCACAACCGTCACCACTGCAGCTCAATTCTCGACTGCCCCGACACGTACCGCCTCGGCAGCTTATAACCGGCCATTGTCCTTTAGCCATTGAGGGAGACATGGAGGGTCCTCCTTTTTTGGAGGGGGACCTTGGCATAAATGACATACTCCCCATTGCGGCCCCCGATCTCGGACCCTTCGGGGGCCGTCTAAAGTTTTTCGCAGAGACTTGTGCCCGTTTTTGTTCCGACAGGTGGATGCTCAGTTCCATGTCTCACGGATATGCCCTGCACTTCACAAGCACCCCACCATCGGGAATGATCTGTCGCCCCACACCAGTGCCCTCTGATCCGACCAAGTGTTGGGCACTAGAGTCCGAAATTGTATCTCTCCTCCAGAAACGCGCAATACGAAAAGTTCCTCAGGAAGAGTCCAACATAGGGTTCTTCTCCACATTCTTTCTAAACTCCGAAGAAGACTCCCGGAGAGTGGCGTCCCATCCTGAATCTTTGTCTGCTCAACAGGTTGTTTTTTTTCGACCAAAACAATTCCGGATGGAAACACTTCGCACAGTATTGGATTGCCTACCCATTGAGTCATGGGTGGCAACTTTAGATCTAAAGGACACCTACTTTCATGTGCCCATTCAGGACACGAATTCCAAATTCCTCCAATTCCTGTATGCAGGAGTAACCTACAAATTCATCGTTCTTTCGTTCGGGCATACAAACGCACCAAGGGTTTTCACGCGGTTAGCAAAGGTTGTGGCAGCCGTCCTCTGACAAAGAAGCATTCTGATCTTTGTTTATCTGGACGGCTGGTTGATTTTGGGTATGTCCGAAAGTCAGACACGTTAAGCAGTCACCGCCGCAATGGAAACTGCAGGCAGTTTGGTATTTCTCATCAACAACGAAAAAGTCACATCCCATACCATCAACTCGCCCAACCTTTCTGGGGCAGAACTGGATCTATCCTGCGGCATAGCCTGTCCCACTCAGGAAAGACAGGGGAATCTAGTGGAATGTGCAGTTCTGCTGATGTCAGCCTACACAGCCCCAGCAGTGGCTTGGCTTTGCCTCTTGGACCTGATGGCTAGTATCATGGATCTGATCCCTTACTGCCGGTTGTACATACGGCCAAAACAGCTGCACCTTCTTGCCCACTACAGGCCAAAACACCACGCACTGTCCCAGCTTGTGCCAGTGCTCCCCCGGTCCACCATCATATGTGGGGGAGCAAACCACGCAATCTTTCATCTGGTCAAAGGTTTCTTCTTCCTCAACCGACATTGACGCTTACAACAGATGCATCAAACAACGGCTGGGGAGCTTGTGCCAGTGCTCCCCCGGTCCACCATCATATGTGGGGGAGCAAACCACGCAATCTTTCATCTGGTCAAAGGTTTCTTCTTCCTCAACCGACATTGACGCTTACAACAGATGCATCAAACAACGGCTGGGGAGCACACATAGGAGAGGATTCATTCGCTGGGACCTGGTCTCCAGTAGAACGGGCTCTCCATATCAATGTCCTGGAACTACTGGCTGTGAAAAAAGCTCTGATCTATTTCCAAAGAGAGACTGCGGGAAAGGTTGTTCGGGTTCGTTCAGAAAACTTGACTGTCGTCTCCTACATCAATTGACAAGGGGGCAACCAGTCCAGCTGCTTGTGCATGTACACGTGGAAACTCCTCCAATGGAGCATTTCCAAAAACACAACTTTGATGGCAGTCCACTTGGCAGGCAGGCAGGCTGAATATCATGGCCGATGCCCTGTCCAGAGGCAAAGTTCTCCCCACAGAGTGGATGTTCCACCCTACAGTGGTATAGGGCATCTTCTTAATACTCGACAGGCCCCCACATAGACCTATTTGCCTCAGCCCTGAACAATCAGCTCCCAGTGTACTGCAGCTGGGTTCCAGAACCACAAGCTTGGCAATGGATGCACTTTCACCGAGTTGGGGAAACATGTTTGCTTACGCATTCCCCCCAATCTTTCTCCTCCCACGTGTGATAGCAAAAGTGTAGACGGCTTAGTGCAAGCTTCTACTGATCGCCCCCTTTTGGCCGAGACAACCATGGGTTCACAGGCACACCCATCTACTGATACACCCTCCAATCCTGTTGCCACAGCGGACCCCGATCGGGGTTTCTTCACCCAGACCCAGAGAAACTCCATCTAACCTGCTGGCCTTTGTCGAATCTTCCCTCAGAACAGCAGGCCTTTCGGCAAACGCTGCAACCCTGGCAGCCAAGGGCCGAAGGGAGTCCACACGTCATATCATAGCTGGTGTAGAAGGGAAGCTGCTGTTCCCTGCTCTGCACCTCTAACCGCCATTGGGGACTTTCTAATGGCTCTCTTTCCACAAGGTCTGTCCTTGGCAACTATTAGGGGTTATTGCTCGGTGATTGCTGCAATCCATAAGGGATTTCCGGATGGTTCAGCTGTTTCGACTTGTAGTGCGCTATCGGGCATGTTTATCGAGCAACTCCCGCAACACCTTCTGGTGCCCTCTTGGGATCTGGGTATGGTCCTGCAAGTTTCAGCTGAGCATCCATTTGAGCCACTTTCCGGGGCTTCCCTGATTAATCTGACTGTGAAGATGGTTTTTCTTCTAGCTGCGGCCACAGCGGGCACTTAAATGGTACCTTGCTCGCACCAAAACTCTCTGAGGTTCCATTTCCCAGCTGTTTATCACCACAACATTGCCTCACAGATCAGCCACCCGGGATACTTCAGTCTACTCCCATTATAACGAGCTCGGTCATAACGATATCCCTGATGTAACGAGCACATTCTCCCAGTCCCGATCAATTTGTGTACATTACTATGGGGAAATATTTGGTTATTATGTGCACGGACATAACGAGACTTCGGCTATTACGACGATTTTGGCTGACCCAAGCGAGGAAAAGCATTGTTCTCAACCCATTTACACATGTACAACGACATCTTTTCAAAACTACGGGCATTGCAGCTTGTCAACGACAGACCTTTTGTCCCGAAACGGGTATCATGCTCCCGTCTTTCAATTCAAGCAACACACTTAAGCTTCACCCATCAATGTACCTTTGTAATGACTTCAACCCAACGTTATTTCATCTCGCCAATCTTTATAAATAAATTCAGTGGGACTGTGATAATCGGCGCAGTGGACCGCTGGTCTAGTCGCTAATCCCCCGATGCGGTTTCCCTTAGCACGACCAGGGTTTGAAGTTTGCTTACGACTGCGGTACCACGTTTCTAGATTATTACAAACGGACAATAGGCTGATGTTGCGCGCCAGTATGGTATCGTTTCAAGTACCCTGGCAACCATCAT